GGGTGAGCCTCTCCGAGCCCTGGCGGCTTTACTGCTTTCGTGCTGGAAGCGGCCTTCGATCTCTTACTTCTGCCCTTGCTCCCCTACTCCAGTGGGCTCTCGTGTACGCCAGGCTGCGGGCAAGGACGTGGGTGCCGCAGGAGGCACCCAAAAGTTGCTGCTCAGGACAATATTAAAAAAAATCCCTAAGAAAAGTAACTTAGACCAGTATTAACACGGCCCTGTAATCTTACTGTAACGGGTATTTTTGACATCCGTCCTTCAGAACGTCTTCTGGTGAACATGCATAGTAAGCTGCGTAAGAGTATGGCTTTTTTTCCTGGCAACTGAACATTAATAGTTTGTTTTAGCACGCTGAAAGGAAACTAAATTAGACATTTCTATTTCCTTAGATCTCAGTCATTTGAATTAAATTATTTTCTCTGGGAGGACAATGAGTTTCTTCCTTATTCCTACAAAATTATCCGCTCATTGGTTAATTTGCAACTATTCATTAAAATAATAAGAAAATGGGATATTTTTCTTACAGACTGGACTTTTTTTTTAGTAACTACTTAATGATAATAGGATTAGGTGTCTAAGCAGTAAATGAAATGCCATTAATGTGTATTAGGTTCTCTCGTGGAGTTACTGTATACACAGCAGCTTAGGACTGCTGACCATCACACATAACTCACGTACCTGTGTATTTTCCGTAGGAGTACACAATGGATGTTTTTTTTCGTCAGACATGGACTGATGAGAGGCTGAAATTTGGTGGGCCAACTGAAATTTTGAGATTGAACAATTTAATGGTCAGTAAAATCTGGACACCAGACACGTTTTTTAGAAATGGAAAAAAGTCAATTGCTCATAATATGACTACTCCTAACAAACTTTTCAGAATTATGCAGAATGGGACTATTCTTTACACAATGAGGTGAGCGCCTTCTGCTTTTGCCTGACATTCGTTTTTCCTTCATTCAGCAATGTTCCTGAGTACAATTTATTTTTCAATGCCATCTGCTTTAATGTATTCTAGACTCACCATTAACGCTGATTGTCCTATGCGGTTGGTGAACTTCCCAATGGATGGGCATGCTTGTCCTTTGAAGTTTGGAAGCTGTAAGTTTTTCTGTATTTTTCAGCTTTATATAGTAAATATATTTGGTCTACACACATGTGAAAAGATCAGAAGTGAGATCTCAGGACACTGCTTAATGGCAAAGCTGAAATTTCTTATTATATTTTTGTATTAGAATTTTGCTTTCGCCTCCAAGACTCAACCTTTGCATAGGCATATGGATTTATTTACTGCAGGCTGACTGTTAACAGGATATTTTGTTGTTTGTTATTCCTGCAGTCAACTAGTCAACTTGGGGTCTTTTAAAAAGTCTTACAAGCTGTGATACAGTTATTACGTTACTCTTAGTTTTACAAAATAAAAATATTTAGTCAATCTGTTGTAATCAATGCTTTATAGCAAATTAAGAAGCAAAAGCTAGTGCCTAATGGTTCCCGCCCCAACCATTACCTCGCTATTGATTTTTTGCATTTTGTCATTAATGAGACTAGAAACTTACTGGAGCAGGATCCATTCCTCTATAGTTCTTTGAACCACAGAAAGGATTGTGCAACTCATTTTATCAATTGCTAAAGAATTATGTAATTAGTAATAGTATTTTTTCCCTCCATAACACAGATGCCTATCCAAAAAGTGAAATAATTTATACATGGAAAAAAGGACCCCTCTATTCAGTAGAAGTACCACAGGAGTCTTCCAGTCTCCTCCAGTATGACCTTATAGGACAAACTGTGTCTAGCGAAACAATTAAATCTAACACAGGTAAGATGTACCCTGGTGGGAAACTACTGACATTATAAAATACATTTTAAAAGATAAATGACACATTTTCCTTATGGAACTGAATTGGCTTATTTTCTTTTGCTAGTTTTAAAACTGAAATGGGAAGAATCTAATTGTTGTCTCCTAAAAGATAATCGTCAATGCCCTCCCTTTAAGCGAACAACTTTGCCTGCAATTCTTAAAATGCCTCCCCTCGCCCCAGTGAAAACAATGCATCAAATCAATAGTCTTCTCTTCTCTTCCAGAAAGGTCACTTTACCTTTTGTTATCAGCTTATTTTTGTTATCCGGTAGGAAACCTACAGTGCTTTCCACAGAGCGTAGCGTATTGTAGTTTAGCCAAGGTTTAAGCCAATGATGTTTACTCATATTTTGCCAAAATAATGCTGACATAGTTGTCTCCTAACAGGTGAATACGTACTCATGACAGTTTATTTCCACTTGCAAAGGAAGATGGGCTACTTCATGATACAGATATATACTCCTTGCATTATGACAGTCATTCTTTCTCAGGTGTCTTTCTGGATTAACAAGGAGTCTGTTCCAGCCAGAACAGTTTTTGGTATGCTGTATTAAGGTCTTTGCAACAGCTCTGCTTCACATATACCATACATTCATCACTTTCATTGCTTGTTTGTTTTAGGCGAATATTCGCTTCAGCTGCTCTATTTCCACCTCCAGAGGAAAATAGGCTACTATCTCATTCAGACATACATTCCATGCATCATGACTGTAGTCCTGTCTCAAGTTGTGTTCTGGATCAACAAAGAATCTGTTCCAGCAAGAACTGTGGCTGGTATTCATGTCTTTGTTCTTCTTTCATTCACTTCATTCGCTGTATTGAATCCATTCTGTTGAACAGCTACTGTCATCCAATGAGGATCAGCTTTTAAGTTGGAAAGCTAGTAGGTTTCAGTGAACAAAAGTAAATACTAAAATTAAACAAAGTAATATTCAGTCTCAGGGTCAAAATTCTTTGCTCAGAGTATTTGTTTAGCCAGCCTTTTTTGTGATGTTTTCCTTCCCACTGAGTACCTTCAGTATTTTTTCATGGACAGGAAGGGGCAATTTCAGAGGGTATGTCAACCGCTCCATTTTTTTAAATAGGAATTTTCCTATTGATTTATTCTCTGTGAAACCAACAATCTGAGTTGATGCTTAAAAAAAAAGAAAAGAAAAAAAATCAGGGCATGGGATCCCTCTCACCTGACTATAGGTACCTCATTTAGCATTCATTCTGGAGTGCTCTTGCTTTCCGTTGCCTACAAAAGGTGTCTAAACAACTGGCAAGGACTTTGGATGGAAAAAGTTGAATAAGTCCTATCCCTAGTTGGAGTTGTAATGTTAAAGGTGGGTCCATCTTACATGAATGGGCCCCTTTTTTCTTTCCAGTGGTTTGAATTAACGCTCAGCACAAGCTGTGAAGCTATTTTGTTTCCCTGATTTTTAGTGTGGGCTCTGCTATCATTAAAGTTAGCTTCCCCACCCACTTCAATATTGACAAACTGTGAAACTGCACTCGGTGGTAAGGGGTAAACGTTCATTGACTGAATTTTGTTTCTGGAAAAACAACGATAAAAACACTAAGCAGAAATAACAAAGCTTGTCTAAAACTGTTCATGAATCAACTACCTCTATATCAAATTTTCAGCCCCGTCTTTCTAGAAATTGTATTTTAATCCAATATTCCTATACAATACATTCTCATTGTGAGACTTGTCTTCAGTAGCAAATAGGCAGCTCTTATGTTCCCTGAGGGTGACTGAGCACTGGGACAGGTTGCCCAGAGAGGCTGTGGAGTCTCCTTCTTTGGAAATACTCAAAAGCCATCTGGACACGATCCTAGGCAACGTGTTTTAGGTGACCCTGCTTGAGCAGGGGGGTTGGACTAGATGATCTCCAGAGCTCCCTTCCAACCTCAGCCATTCTGTGATTCTGTGATTCCCTCTCCATAAATGATGCAAGTCATATAATTCAAAATAAGTTTATAATTGTAGTTAGCAACCTACAGAAGTCTGTCAATAATTATTTCTGTCAAGTGGCATTTCATGTCCACATGCAATGCTATTCATAAAAGCATTACGAGACTATTGTTCCAAACTTCTGATACAACTTTTAGGGTTACTAAGTGAACACAACTTCCTCAGTTGCCTCTGAAGGAATATCGATGCTCTTTTGTTCTTGAAATCCCAACTGGCAGCTGGGGTGCAGTCGGACATCATTAAACACTTACAAACCCAACAGTAGGTATTATTTTTCAGCAGTTGGGATTTTTGTTGTTGTTAAGTTCTTTCTTAAAAAAAATAAAATATCAGGTAATGTATTTTCAAAGATATTTACTGCTATGGAAACATAAGATATATACAGGAAGTTTGTACTCCAAATACAGCTTACCTGATTCAGCTTTATTTGGCATCTCTCTAATATACAGCTACATCCACTGTCTGTTGAGTAAAACATATATTTGCTACCGAGTGGGCAGTGAAAGTCAATTCTGTATTTGAAGTAATATGCAAATAAGTCTTTGGATGATTCAGTAATAATTACATCAAAAATCTGAGATATAATGGAGTTTGGGAATAATGACTCCTAGATGTCATACTGAAGAATAAATACAGAATTAGCAACAGAACATATTTTAAGGAAATAGTAAAATAGATACTTTTCTTAATATTGTGGAATATTAGTCATGCTGGCATTTTAAAAGACTATTTCAATCCTTATTCCGTTATTTCTCTCGGGCACAGTCTGACTTTATAGTCCTAACTAATTCAGAACCCCATGGACTCCAGATACCTTCATCTCAGAAAAAAAGGCCTTTTTTTTTTTTTTTTTGTCATAAAGACGACATTTCTGGCCCAATAAAAAAGAAAAGGTATAAAATAGAGAAGTAAGCAACCTTTCTACATCATACTGCAAATACTTACATTACAAAGATTTTTCAATTTTGCATCTAAGTTCCCTGCACTGGAAGTTTGAGAGAGCAGAGGGTCAGTGGCAGAAGAATAACAATAGTGTGCCCAAACCAATTTCTCACACCAAAATCAGGTACCAGCTCTATTTCCCTCCGAAATGAATGCCAGTTATCTTTTGCAGGTAGTTTCGCAATAAGTACTCTAAAACTTTTGCAAAGGTAGATTGATGGCCATAAGGATCTGCTCTTCATAGACCTGTAAGTGAAATCTGGGAGACAGAAATATCTGAAATGACACTCTTGCACTCTTTATAATTGTGTTATTGGAAAGCTTCTGTATGTGTGTGTGTGTGTGTGTGTGTGTGTGTGTGTGTGTATCTCTCTTTCTCTATATACACACACACACACACACACTTTATAAAACATGGCATTATCAGAACCAACTTAGAAAAAGAAACATGGTTGTCTGAGGCCTAATTTTTAAGTTACTTGTTACGTGTCAGGTGCTCTGAACCCACATAACAATGGCTATTATTTCAGATTTTTATATGCCTTTATCTAATCTCTCTTAGTCTTGGCAAAAAAACTATTATTTTTTGCAGAGCAACATGGCTTCTACCTTCCTATCAGGTCATGCTGGGAATTTTAAATTATTGTAAACATAGTTTAATGAATAGATGTTAAAATCTCAGATACGGAAAGAGTTTTTTTTAAGAAAAGATATATACTGCAAATACTCAAGTCTATGTTAACAGGTATTTCAGAACTTACCAAGAAGTATTCAAAGTGGTTAGACAAGGGTAAACAATTACCAGTTATGCTGTTTACCAACTGTAATTTGGCATTGTTTGATAAAGTAGTTTTCCATAGACAGGAGCATTTGATCAATATTCACTCCACATTAATAGGAGTCTTATCTATATCTGTAATACAATAGGAGTTCTACTCCTGAATTTAAATTCCTTTTTTGGCAGTAATTTTTTATTCAGGCATGAAATATAGGTTTTTTTTTTTTTTTTTTTTACTAAATAAAACATGGACAGATTCTAATCTAATCACACATCGTATTGAAGAGTTCATTCTGGCCATCGGAAATTGAAATATATATCAATGTATTTGTACTGCTGTTATAAAAAGTGCCTAGCAGATCTGGGGGAAGTAGAGATCCTGCTTATTTTATAGTATCTCCTATTTGCATTTCATTAAAACATGTTGAGTAATGACATTAGGGCTTAGTTAACCTCAGACAGCTGGCAAGCTACATCATGTCAGAGTTGCAGAAAAAAAACCCCGAAAATAATCAAGTCATCCTGTCTTGATGCTGCAGTGAGATGTTACATCAGTATGCAATGACACTGCATCCTTTCCACTCGGCATCACTCATAGCATATTGATTCATCATCAGAACATGACATTATACCATCTTTTATTTTCCCACCTACCCTTTCCCAAATGCAGAAAAGAGCAGAAGAGGCTATTCTCCAGCTTGCTGTCTTTAAATACCTGCAATTTTCAGATTCTGGTAGGCATAATTACAAGTAAACATGAGTCATGGAGGCTTACATGTCACTGGATGAGTTTACTGTTGCATTTTTTGCTTGAATCAGGCAGCAGTGGGATGTAAGTATATTTCCCACGTATTATTAATGGTGTACACTCCAAAATAAAACAAGTAATTTCTTCATGATAGACATGAAGAACACTATGGGGCCTGTGAGCTATGTGATCAGATGTGTTGTATGAAAATACATATGGAGCTCTGGAGAGGTAGCTTTTCCATCCTTGCAAATTTGTAACTGTGGGAACCTTCAAATCTATATACTGTTAGTGGCTCTTACAGATGATATTCTGTGATTAAAGTCAACTGCACAGAGGCCCAAATTCTGTTATTACTAGAAATATTTGGGCAATTGACTACTGCTGGTTTTAATGCAGAATTCTGCTGGATTCAGTGAATGTTATGTAAGCCATGGTCTGTCTTGTGCAGCACCATGGCAAAAAGGGAGGGTAACGTTGCTAGGAAATTAGCATATGTTAATCTAGATTTCTGCTGAACATTGCACTTACTAACTCTTGGGTAAGGTAGGCGTCTTTCAGAGTTTGAGCCTGAATTTTATTACATACACGTTTTATCAAAATTCTAAGAAGCAGCACTGTAGCAAATAGCTATCTTAACTTTCAGTCTGCTTAATGTATTAAAGATGTTTATTCAGAGCTTGTAGATACACAATCCACAATGCATGAATTAAGAATTTGAAATACTTAGCAATCTTGTTAGTTGCCTAATAGGCGGGATGACTGTTAAAAGCGAAGAGGACATTTAATATGTATAGGTAGATGTATTTAAGATTAGCCAGGTTGAAGCAGAATCCTAATGCCTCCTTTTTCTTTCTCTTTTTTTCAAGGCATCACTACAGTTCTAACAATGACCACTTTAAGCATCAGTGCACGCCACTCTTTGCCCAAGGTGTCCTATGCTACTGCCATGGATTGGTTCATAGCTGTGTGCTTTGCCTTTGTCTTCTCTGCACTTATCGAGTTTGCAGCTGTCAACTACTTTACCAATCTTCAGACTCAGAGAGCGATGAGGAAGGCAGCCAGGGCAGCAGCACTGGCAGCAGCACTATCAGCAGCAACTGTACCGGCAGAGGACGAGATTGTCTCGGTAATTGCTTGCTTTTCTGATAATAAGCGTCATATAGGAAGAGGCAGCTGAAGTAGTGAATGCAAAACAATATTAAAGCGATCTTAGCCCGAAACAGATTATGTAACCAGATCGTGCCTATTTATCAATCAAAGAAGTTTTTCTTAATTTCAGAAAATGGAAAGACTTCATTTATTCATACTGTTTATTTAAATTGGAGGTACGATTTGCTAGAGAGATTTTTATTTAGTAAGATATTTAGGGAAAACTATTAGACTGTTACCCATAACTTCCCTTGAGCAATGTCATAGGCTCTGTGGTCAGGCAGCCCTGTGGTTCTCATCTGAGTAAGTCTGCAAATTTTTTAGGACACTGTACAATAGAATGAACATGTGCATTGGCCAGATGATTATGGGATCACTGTAGTATACTAGTACATACCATAAGTGGGTCATCTGGAAGAAGAGGAATTAGCCTTTACATAATCTTGGCATCTGTTACTTTCATAAAAATCTGTGTCAGTGGAAGCTTGGGGAAAAAACATAAATTTAAAGATTAGAGATAGATTTTACTACATGTGATAGACAGGAAGGCTTTCGGGTATCAGAAAAAAAGTCTGTCAAAATTACTTGCAAATACCAGTCCTTATATTTTCGGCTAAGTAATTAATGTTGACTCACAACATAAGTTAGTATATTTATCAGTATACAGCCCTCCTGTTTTCTAGATCAGTTTTACTACCACCGCATTCTCCCATTTGAGTGACCCTTTGCAAAACTTCTGAGTCTGCAGTTGAACTAGGAGGTCAACCAAGAGCGACTGAATATCAGGGCAATACCTTATCCACAGTATGGCATTCTTCCACGTTTGCTTATAAATAACATTTAAAATTATAACATTTAGGCACATTCAAACTGTTAATGATTAATAAGCTCCATTTAATACTGAAACTGAAGCTCCCCCGCATCTTTCTACTGGACCTCATTAGAGCTAATCAACAAATCTTCCTCACTTACTGTGCTTGCAAACCATGCTGTATGTTGCTTGCAATTTGTTTTAACATTTTACAGTGCAGAACACTGTAAGAAGACATAAAAACAAGAAAGGCGTGTTATTTTCACTAAATATATAAAAATAATTGCTTAAAGAAGCAATTTATTAATACATTTTAACATACTAATACTTTTTTTTTAACCATAGTTGTACCAAAGATACTAAAGAAAGTCCAACAGAATTTGAGAGGAGCTTGAAAACAAATGTTTGTAGAATCTTGCACTGATTTTAAAGAGGAAGCTAAAAGGTGGACTCAGTATTGGTAATACTTGCAGCATTCACATCAACACTTACTTTTAGCTAGTATATTACGGTTTTATAATTATATTTAAGTCATATGAAAGACAATGAGGAAAAAAAAAAGAGAGTATGTGTTTGTTAATATTTAGGAAATATTAAGAATACTTTCCTTTCCTCCCCCTCCCCCCACCCCAATATTGTGACATTTGACTGAGGACTACTGTGGACTGTATGAGCAGAATATTGTAATAGTGAAATAATGCAAAATAAGAAAAATGGTGCGTATGTTAAAATGTACTAAAGCTTCGTTTTTATATTCACTGTTGTTTTTTTTGACGACAAGCTATCAGAAAAAAAGCTAAATAAATCACTTGGCTTTATATAGCATGAGGAAAATAGTGTTAACAGAGGCATATCACTGTCTTTGAAACAGAACTCCAGATGTATTATTTTTATTTTTAATTGGTCAGTAACTTTCTTTGTCACATACTGTGCTTAAAAACCCTCTCAATATATAGAATTTTAAGGAAAATATAGAGCCAGCTATTGAAAAAAAATCTTTAATTCATACACTGCAGAGAGAGTAGAAAAGAACAATTACTCATTGTTCCTTGAAAACCTTGATTCTCAGAAAAAAAGCAAGAATGAAATTTCACACAGGTTATAAAAGGCAGAGGTACTGAACGGTTTAAATATGCCGTTCAAGAGTTACAAGTTAGAGGTCACAAAAGCAAAAGCATAATAGCAGTCCCAAATTTGTCTTCTAGACAGATTTTACCTTATTTGTTTGAGATCATTGATACATACAGTGGAGAGAGCAATGAGAGTGTCTCAAAGAGACGCTGAGGAGTTCTGCTGACTGCAAATGAGACTGGTAGATCCCGTACTAGTACTCAGCGCCCCAGACATCACGAGTTAATTTGCAGTGTTCCCTCGATACCTGAAGAACCAGGAGTAAAGGTTCTTTAATTTTCCAATCAAACTTTTAGTTCAGAGAACATTAAACTCAAGCTATGGTTGTTCAGCCATGTGCCAGAGTCAAGAACATCATTGTTTTCACCTCCTTTTTTTAATGCTCAGAAATACAGCAAGCCATCATTTCAAGCCTCAGTCTGTTCTCTTACAGAGATCCGGTGCTGTAGCTGCTACATCATGCAGAGGAACAACAGCCTGTGTCTTTCCTACACACGCTTCCTTTTTCAAATTTGACTTTATCATAGTGTGGTTACAACTTCTGGGAAGGAAAGAAAAAAAAAAAGACCTGTACTTATTCCATTTAGGCCCCACTGAGTGATATGAAAATACGGTCTGGACTATTCAGCACTTGCTACTGCTGGTGCAGTCACAGCAGATGCTACAAAGGCCATAACCACTCCTCACCCCACCGAGAGGACGGGACACCGAGAGGAGTTGCAGAAAAAAAATGCCCCTCTGTAGGTACCCAGATACACCAGAACAGGAACCCGATGACTGTGGCAGCCCCCACTACTTGTGGGCGAGATTTACATGTTCAGAAATTTGCCCTTGAAAAAATTAATGAAACAGACAAAATAAAGAATTCAGAGGCCCCAGTCTGTGCAGTTTCCTTCTGTGGCTCTAGCCACAAACAAGCACAGAGCTGAACGCGAGATACAACCTCCTCCTTTTAAAAATATTTTCTTGTTAGTTTTTTCCAAGTAAAATCAAGCAAAAGCCAAATATTAAAAGCGTATAGGAAGCACACTGCAACAATTTCCTCATGAAAATTATTTACAGCTAGCTAGTAACATCTAGAAATAGCAAAGAAGCAAAACCAGTAAAATCAAGGTCCTAAGGTAATCCCAACCTCTAAAGCAGCCCGCAGTGTTCCCAAAATACTGTAGTGTCCTAGTCTCGCTCAGAGCTCCTACTACCAAGGCAGCCGTTTTCTACCCCTGTAAGTCCACCACTTCTTTCTCACAGGACCAGTTCCCTCGGAGAACCCTCCTCTCTGTACTAATAGAAAAAGAAAAATCAATAGACGGTAAAAATGAAGAGTACTTACAATTGCAGGAAAAAAGAGGTAGTCAAAATGGCTTCTAGACAAGCCAAGCTGCTTGGCTCCTTCAGATTTAAAAGGTCCCATTGCCATTGCAGAAAGGCATGCTGGGAAAAAGGAGTAATTGTAGGAGTAAAGGTTTTAAGAAATTTTTCCCTTTTTTTGAGGTAAAGCCAAGGGGATTCTGTTATAATGTGACGTGTATGGATATACTGCAGTCAGTGATGTAATTTCAGCTTGAACAGACTCGAACAAGCTAACTGAGCGCTGACAGTGTAGCCGGCCGGCTGCCCGTTTCCTCCCAACTGTCACCCTCTACTGAGCTCTGTGTGTCTATAGTTGCGCTACTGCTCTTAGGGCAGTTATGTTTAAGGCAAATGGCATAATACAGTTTCTTTCCTATTGAATATTTAGGAGCTGTTTTTGGCGGGGGGGTGGGGTGGGGGGGAGTCTTCAATTGCCTCTTCTCCCCCCTGCCAACTTCTTCTGTTAGTCTGCCTCTAAGTTCTTCCATTTTTTTTCCTTCCAGAGTGTCTTCTCCGGTTGCTGCAAGGCCCAATTCTTATTCTTTACCTCTTGTGTAATTTAAGGTTATCTTACCTTTCCAGCTTTTTTTTATTTTAATTTTTCCCCTTGTCCTTCTCCACTCTTCTTCCCAAAATGTTTTTTTTCCAGTCCATTAGAAAAAATCTATTTCTTATACATACAAAAATTTAATTGTCTGCTTTATTTGATTTTTTAAAATTTAATTAAAATCCCTGCCTTCTGTCGTGCCTTAGGCTTTGCTTCCTTGTTTTTCTAGCCTATGATTTTTTTCACTATTATGCAGAGTAGAAGAGTTTTTCATTCTCTTGTAACGTTAGGATTTCTGTTTTGTGATTTTTTTTGTGTGTACGGAAGTTGTCCAAAATTTTAGCTAAATGAAGGGGCAGATATAGGATGAAGAACAGTAAACAGTATATCAAAAAATATTGATTGTATTCTGCATTTATAGAAACCAAGTGATATTTTTAGATAGAGAAGATTTCTGAGGAATGCGTAAGTTTCACTAGTTTGAGGGAGTCACTTGTGAAAACAAAAGTGAGAGGTGCTTACAGGGAGTTTTTTATGGCTCCACAGCTACCAGTGAACAGTAGCAATTAAAGGAGTTACAACATGGACTATGTTTTTAATACTGAATTACCTAACATTGCTTGAAGGGTGGCTAAAGAGCATTGTGCTGGGAATGTCCTTATGCTGTCTAAACTAGTACTTCCTATAAGGCAGGAGACCCGTTCTCCTTCTTTGTGTAAAATAAAGCCCAGGAAGTCAGGTTTGGTACAAACAAAAGTGTAAAGGAGCTGTAAAATAGTTGGTTAGAAGCTCTTGTTGCTTGAATTAATCATTCTAGAAGTATTTACAGAATATATTCATTTTTAAAATTCTAAATCTAATAATTTTATCTGGAAAAAAAATACTCTCAAGACTGTCTCACCCTTCAGTCTAGTTAATTTTGTTTGAAATCTTGCATATTCCAATGAAATAAACTTTTTTCTCGCAAGTTTTTTTATGCCCCAAAAAAATCTATGCACTCTTAAAATGAAAATGGCAGAAGACCAGCTTCTGCTCTGCTTTAGTAATGAAAGTTGGAGTAATACTGTTGAAGTCATTGGACTACACTGGTTTAAACGGGCTGACTGTGTGCTCAGTTAACTGATGCCAGCCCAGCATG